GACTGCCGCTCTTCCCTGCCTTTTGCGAAGCCAAGCCACGGGGCTTAACAAAAAGGGAAGACTCCCTTCATGTAAATCAGAGATAAAAGGTCTTCAGGATCAAAGGGCTGTGATTGTGCAATCCTTTCATGGCTGCTTTACCCAAAGGGGGCCTTCTCTTCCTTTTTGCTAAGCCCCGTGGCTTCGCGAAAGGCAGGGGAAAGCAGCAGCATTCTATGTATAAAACAACTCTCAATTTTGTGTCTAATTGTTTAAGGAAAAGTTGTCATTTTATACACAGAAAATATGGTAAAATTCTTGAAAAGGGAGAAAAATTATTATAAAGGGGAAAACCGATTCTGGTCATTACTGGCAAAATGTTCCTTTTAAATCTCACTTAATCAAGGTGCTGTTTTTGACTAACAGAATGTTCATTTTCTTAATCTTTGATTGGGCTTTTGATTTTCCAAATGTAGTACCTTTCGGAAACTCCTTCCTGCATTCATTTGCCTACTGTGGACTACATGTGTATCCATAAAATCCATTGTCATGAAACTTCCTGCACCTTTTGGAATAGACTCCTATTTTCATTGGGCACCTGCTAGATCTGTTGGGTCTAGGCTCACGTGAACTACCCTGTAGCTATGCATGGATATTGGGTAGTTGACTTCTAGGAAGCCTTGTCTACTATTTCAGTGATCTTTCTTACTGAAAAACCCTTCATAGAACTGCATGAGGAACACAGGTCTTCCTGGAGTGCAGTTGGAAAGAAGAATGTGTTTATATGCCAAAACATGGGTCATTACACTTGCAGTTTTATTATCTAATCTCAGATATGCACCAGCTATGAAAAATGATGCATCTGCTCTCTAGACATAGTTAGAAATAGAAAGCATCCACCAAAGCTGATGAAATTTCATTCAAAGTCTTTCATAATGAAAGGCAGATATTTAGTAAAATATAGAAATGGCATGAGGGCTTAATACATCAAGAAGACTACCAGCTGATGCTCTATTTCTGATACAGTAATCATAATTCAGTTTACAATGTGATCTTCAGGAATTAGGAACACAGGGCTACAGAGACCATTATTCATAGATTTAAAACAATAGGGAGAAACATATTTACCCAACGTTGAATTGTAGATTGGAAGGGAAAGTTAAGATAACTTATGTGGAGTTTTAGATTACAAGGTCCTTGAGGACACATCCCGTTTTCTTTGTGAGGGGCCATTCATACTACATAATGTTATATACTAACTACAACATTTAACTCAAAGAAACCTTCAATGGTAAGGGTGTTTGATAACAGGATAAGATTGTACTGTACGTTGGGCTAAGGGAACTCATTTAGCTTTTTTTCCTCCCCCCAGACAACTAACTGTTTTGCTTGGGGAAGTTCCTTAATATGCCAGTCAGGAATCCCACCCCCACCCCCATTTTAAAAACATTCTAGGACCAAGATAAAAGGAAACAAAAGGGTTCAAAACAAAACATAAAAATACAGGAAATGCAATATCTGTATTTGCTATATTCCTGATGCACCAAGAAAGGTATTTAATTCTAGAGGTGCTTGTCATGTACCTTGGGACCTTCTCTATACAAACCACACACTGCAGTGAGCGGTGCCTTTTTGTCTTGTGTAATGAGCAAAGGAAAGAGTGGTGGTACAGTGTAAGATTTTTCAGATAGGCTTCTACATCCCAGTCTCTTATATCACAGACTTGTGCTCCTTGTGAGGCTGAAAGAATGCCCTGAGATCCTTGGAGGATGACAGGATTTCTCCCTTCCCACAAGTTTTTTGCTACCATCTCAACCTGTGTCACTTTTCTCCCATAAATGAACTCAAGATTATTAAATTTCAAGTAAAGCCAAAAAGGACAGTGAATATACAATTTTAAAAAATAAATAAATATTGGATAACATAAAAATTGACAATACAAACACTAATTCAACCTTTGAAAGCCCATGTAAGACCTATAAGCACCATCTTGGGGAAAGTCTATCTTTGATGCCTGAGGGGCAGGAGGAAGATGGCCAACCTAGCAATCCGAGGGAGGTCAATCTACAAAGTGGGAGCGGCCACAAAGATGTTCCCACCACATATACAGAGAGAAAAGGATTAAGAGAAGGGACTCCCCTGAAGATATTATGAGCCGAGAAAGCGCATATGGAGACATACGGTCCTTCCCATAGTCTGGCCCCAAGACGTACAGGGTTTTGTACATCATAACCTGTACTTTGAATTTATGCCAAATACTGTATGAACCGTCAACCAGTGAAACTTGCATTATATCCTCCATGTAACCAGTCCTGGTCAGCAGCCTGCCTTCAGCATTTTGAATCACTTGATGTTTCTGAAACGTTTTTGAAGATAGTCCCACGTGTCTTACAATAATCCAAGTGGGATACACGTAAAGAATGTATCACCACAGCCAATGAGACGTTTCAAGTATTTTTCTTTATGCAGTTTGCAAGTGTAAATACTTTTCTCTGGAGGTTGTTATCCATTCTTAAAAAGCCATTTCCACCTCATTTCTCTCTCTGCATGTTCTGCGTAGTGTGTTTCCCGTGTGTGTGTTTTTACAAAGGCATATTTTTCACATATGCATTATATATTTTTAATACCTTATTTGCAGCCACAGTAGCCTAAGCTATCCTATCACAGGAAAAGGGGCTCTGCTGTTTACCCCAACCCCAAACAAGGGTGAGAGGAAGGTGGCAATAATACTCCTCTAATTAGTACTGCCTACCTGCATACCCCAAGTGCTAATCAACAGGAATATATTATTCCCAGAGCTGGTTGTGAAATGTATACAAGTAGGTAGAAAGTCAACAGTGTCTTTCTACCTACAGTCAAATTATTGGCACCCTTGCAATTCTGTCAGAAAAGGTAAGCCTTCTCTCAGAAAATTGTTCCATTTGCAAATATTTTGGTGCTCATATGTTCATTTCTTTGGTTTGCGCTGGAACCACACACACACACAGACACACACACACAGACACACACACACACACACACACACACACA